AAACGCAGGTTCAACGGGTGAGTCGCTGCCTGGGGCGGGAACGGGGTTACGGGGGTTGGGGAAGTTGGACTCGATGATCTTAAAGATCTTTTCCAACCAAAGTGATTCTATGATTCTGCGAAGTACAGGCAGTCCGGGTCAGAAAGTGTGCCTGGTCGAAGTAGTTCTACTTGGATACTTACCCGCTGTCTCCCTAATTACCTGAGGAATAATTACTTTTTTTAATCCCCCCCCCTTCTTTATGTAGGATATGAAGGTGAACACGGCTCAGTTCATGGCACTGTATGCGTGGTATTCCTGGCCCAATGTGGTTCTGTGCTTCTTCGGAGGTTTTCTGATAGACAGAGTATTTGGGATACGGTAAGCGTGATGTTAGTGCTGCTCGTGTTCAACAGAAGGCAGGCTTCAACTGCATGTGAAGTATAGGCGTTATAATATAAAATTTCTTTTTCAAATTATAATAAGCTTTTTCAGGTTTGGTTTTTTTTTCACGTGATCTAGGAATTTCCACTGGTATAATTAAGCTTCCTTCCCTTTATGGCTTCAATAAATGGCTTAATATATGCCAGTCTGCACCACCTTTTTTTTGAGGAAGATGTCAATCGGTGGCATTTATTACAGAGAGCTTTTATTGCATATCAAACTCCCCCTTTTTCCTTGCTGTAGGTCCAATATGCTGTTGTATAGCAAAAAAGATTCTAGCTATGCATTAAGCAATTTTATTTTTCTTACAGGTTGGGCACTATAATATTTAGTATCTTTGTTTGTGTTGGGCAGGTAAGTGCAAATGAGAGAGTGAAGGTTGATACGTGTCTGAAGCTTCTTTCCTGGGGGTGGGGAAAAAAGCCCAAATGGCTTCTTGCGTAGCGGTGTATATTTCGGATGGGAGTAGGCAGGTGAAGAGAGCTGAAATGGGAGAACCCTGAATTTTATTGGGGTAGTTGGGAACAGGTGGGGTAACTAGGAACAGAGGACCTTGAAAGATGAGCGAAATAAGATTGTGAAGCAATCACATGTTTTATCTATTATGAAACTACTATGTAGGTCTGTTTGGGTAGGGTATGATAATAAATAAAGGCAAAGCATGACTTTGAGCCTCTAGAGATGTTTTCTGAGTGCAGTTTCAGGGAGCGCCAGGTTGGATGTTACGTAGCCAGCAGGATGATGAGTAAGGGATGCAGAGGGAGCAAAGGCAAAAAGCTAGGAGTAGGAAGTGGGTGTGAAGTATTTCTGCAGGTCTGGGAAGGGAAAAGCATTTTTGTTTGTTTTGAGATGGTTCTAGGTTGTTCCATACTTCAAGTATAAAATTACAATTTTTCCTTAAATGTTTATTTGGCAGGTAATTTTTGCTTTGGGAGCACTACTTAATACTTTCTGGCTGATGGACGTGGGCAGATTCATATTTGGGTAAGTCTAGAAGAGTATAATCTGTGCTCTCTGAAGTAAGGACTGTCTTTCTGTGTCCTAGAAAACTGCTACTGTGTTTACACTCAGAGACAAAGTTGTTGGATTTTGAGGCATCTGTAAAGCTGAGCCATGAAAGATCTTCAGTCATGTTCCCAGTCTAACTTAGAAAACAAAAAAATAGGACTTTGCAGGTCTTACTGAGTGTCTTAATTTAGATAGTTTCATAATTTCTGATAATTCAATAAGCTGATAAAACTGTGGGGGTTGTCCTTTTCTCTTAATTCTTACTTTCCTGAGTAAAAAGAATTCTTGGCCACAACAAATATAACAGGGCTCCTATAGTGGCAAAAAATGAGAGCAAATGTCAGAAGAAATGACCTCGAAGTTGTCAACATGCCACTGTATAAAAATGTTAGAAAATCTGACCAGCTGTATAGGGGGGTGGGCAGATACCTGGAATCAGAATTTAGTGAAGTCAAGATACCTGCTTTTGATTTCATTTGGGTCAGGATCTATGCCACTTGCTTCTTTAATGCAGAAGAGAAATGAGAAGCTGCTGCCTGTTGATTTAATTTCTGTAAATGATCAAAAGCAATTATAATAACTTCTAGACTACTTAAGATACCTTGTGCTCTTAATTATTCTTAAGACACTGCAGTTCTCTTTTGAATTGTATTTCAGACTTCTATTGCCTTGTATATATGCATTAGATCTGCCTGTACACAGATAAACTTCTCTGAAATAGTCATCTTGGTACTGTCAGCAACTGATGTATTGCTTCCTTGCTGCTTTGCATGTTTCAATTAACGTGTTTTCTTTTGTGTCTTCCTTCTTTTTTAGAATAGGTGGAGAGTCCTTAGCAGTGGCACAAAACACATATGCAGTCAGTTGGTTTAAAGGCAAGGAGTTAAATCTTGTGTTTGGATTACAGCTAAGCATGGCCAGAATTGTAAGTGTAAAACTGTATAGCTTGAATTCATAGGCTTTAAGGTGTGTGGCTTGTCCTGGCAGTGAGACAGGTGGAAAACAGAATCTATAATGCTCCCTAGGGAGTTTTAGTTAAAAATGGATGTGAAAATTAAATTTAAAATGTTAAAAATTTGTGGTACATAGAGAAAGGATACACAAGGAAATGAGTTAATAAGATTTTTTAGAACCTGTCAGACTTACAAAGAAGCTTGGTGGTGTTATTACTGTAGATTACTGGGTGGGACAGTCACAGTGCTGCATTTCATCAGACTAATTGATTCTTGGCCCATCATAAAATGTTGGCTTAAATGAGTGTAGCTTGTGGCTTGGGGACAAAAGTGCAAGCTCTGATAAATGATAAATGGGGTGGCTCCTTTAAGAAACTCCCATCCTTATCTACTACTGTAAGATGTTTTTATCCTTGTTGTTGGTTCTGATAGGAACTGTGTGAGTGCATCTCAGCTATTCTGTTTTGATTTGATATAATCACTTAAACCCACCTCGAGCAGCAGTTCACACTAATACACCAGGCTGTGAATGAAGAGAGTGGAGACATGCCTCTGTGGTATATTAAACCACTGCAGGTATTTACCTGGGTAAAAGAGAGTTAGCTGGTCGCAGCTGAGTCTGGGTTGATGTTCAGGCTGTTGCTAATTAGCAGTTGCCTCCTCTCAGCTGAACTGTAGCTAACTGACTGTTGTTAGCCTTGGGATTGCAGCTATGGATCCCTTCTCTAGGAGGAGAAGGGGGGGGGGAAAGTGCTTCTTCTTGATGCCTCTCAGGTGGAAATTGTGTTTGCTTCAGCCTGTGGTATTAAATTGAGCTCAGTTTATGAGGTAAGTATGATGTAGATTTTATGGCACTTCTAATGCTTCTGTCGAAACACTGTTAGGGTTATATAACATTTCAGTTTGTGATGGTATATTATTGTTGCAGTGGTTAATTTATTGCAAACACTAACCAAACCAGCAGGGAATAACTTTATCATTGTTGTTGGTGATTTATGTTCCCTGTGTATGTACCTGATTGTTTTAAACACTGTTCAATAAGCAGTCTGCCTAATGTTCCTTTTGAATGCATATAATGGTGTAATACGTTATTCTTTACATGAGTCTGTTCTGTCTAGGGGAGTACAGTGAACATGAATATCATGGGATGGATATACTCTAGAGTTCGAGATCTTCTGGGGTATACTGGTCCCAGTACTCTCGGGTTAACTCTCATGATAGGTCAGTAATATTTTGAACTGATGTCGCCTGCTATTTTAGGCTTCTAAATTTGAACAGCATGCATACATGTTAATGACTTCTTACTAACTTGGAAGTAGGATGAGTATATTTGAGACTGGGAAGAGCAATTCAAATACTGTTTGTATCAATGGCTAATATTCTTATGCAGAGTGTACTGTATCTGATAAAAAGCTGAGTGATTTTTGTGGTTGCCAAATTCAAGTTTGTATCTTATGAATGAAGATGAATGAGATGAAACATTTAATATGCTTAGATTAAAGGACAGACTTGAAAAATTTTCTGAAAGGTATCATGTCAAAGCTTGCGTGTTGTTGTCTAATGTGTAAAAGTGTCATTTCAGCTACCTTTGGATCCATGTTCCTTTCTGTCAGAGCCATGGGTATTAAGGCCTTGGTGTTGGTAACAAGGCCCAGGCTTTGTTTCTGTTACTACGAGGTACAGATAGGGAGCTTAACTGTGCTGAGCAGGAGTGGTGGTAGTGTTTTAAATAAAATAAGCATAGCTACATGTTTGTACTCTACTTCAAGACGTATGTCTCTCAAATGGCAGGCTTTGGTATTTTCACCTTACCCTTTGAGTTGTACAGCTACTGACTCTTACACATAAGACAAGCTGGTGTTAAACTTAGTTTGTATTAGATATGTAAAGGTATGCTACAGTAGTTGTGCCAAATTACTACTTGAGTCAACAACTAAACACGTCGCATTGCCTTCTTGCAGGTGGCGTAACATGTCTCTTTTCACTGACCTGTGCACTAATCCTTGCTTATCTGGACAGGAGAGCAGAGAAGCTCCTTCATAAAGAACAAGGGAAAACAGGTGAGTGGTGTGGGTGGTGCGGCTGAACCCGCCTTGGGCTTCGTTCTTTCATTCTGGAACAGACCCTTCTGGTTAGAATCATAGAATCGTTTAGGTTGGAATAGACCTTTAAGATCAAGTTCAACTGTTAACCTAATGCTGCCATCCCACCACTAAACCATGTCCCTAAGCACCACATCTACCCATCTTTTAAATACCTCCAGGGATGGTGACTAGATGGTTACTCTGTGCACTCTGCAGGTTTGCATTTTATGTAATTCAGTCACTGCTGTTTAATAACATTTTCACAGTTATAGCTTTAATAATAATTTTTAGTTCACTTTTGTGTCAGTAGGAAGCTTTACAGTTTTAAACACCCGTTTACAGGCAGATGCACTGTCATCTGCTTTATTTATAAAGCATGTGGAGAGCCTCCCAGTCCACATCAATTTGATCTGTGCCATTGCCACTGGTACTTTGTTTTGTTGGAATTGGTCTTATTTCCTTTAATAGGTGTGCAAAACCATGCAGCTCTTCTCCATCAATGTGTGGTGTTTTGAGTTTTCCATGTGGGACAATTTAGATCAATTAAAAATAAACTAAATTTGAGATTCAAGTAAGAGCATATAACATGAGGCTTCAGACATGAATTTTGCTAGCTGACTAAACATTTACTTTAAAAAGTGATTTGTATTTAATTCTGCATAAGACTTTCAGAGAACTTGTGCATCCAGCTTAGTGTGGGAGAGACAATTTGTTCTTGACTTTGGCACTGTTGATTTAGGACTTGTATACTCTTAACCAACTCCACTGTGTAAACTTTAAACAAGAGAGTCGGTAGTGGCAGAAATGTATCCTTCAGTAGTGACTTGTGATCACCTTAATGTTTATTCAGTGTGGATGAATTTCAGATGTGCTTATGCTGACTGAAGCAATATTGTCTCTTGCCCCACTCCAGGTGAAGTGATTAAGCTAACTGACGTGAAGGACTTCTCGTTGTCCTTGTGGCTTATATTTGTAATCTGTGTCTGTTACTATGCAGCAGTTTTTCCTTTCATTGGACTTGGAAAGTAAGTGTCTCTCACATAGCTATTCTCCTTGAATTTGGCTTGGGTTTTAACTAGTTACTTACAAAGGAAGAGGTGTGGGCTAATATTTAAGAATCCCAAGTGGCTGCAGAACCACTGGTCTCCCAGCAAGTCTAGGCTGTGGTTTGTCATTTCTTCTGTGGCATTGTTCACTAGACTTGTGATACAAATAAACATAACTCTTATAGTTTCCTTATCTGTTGAGATTTGTGGGAAATACCATTGCTTAACATAGGCTGAGTTGTCAGAACTCAAAAGCATAACGCGTGCTCCATTTCCTGATTAAAACTTGATACAGATTTAAAGCATGGCATGAGTTTTGGTGTCGAAAGCTGTGGACACCTGTCTTCTGCATGATTTCCTTCCATACTCATAAGCTATTGACTGACTGCGAGGTGGGGGCTTACATGTAGTTACGACTTTGGAGAGCCGTCCTCTTCCTGTGCTAACTGGGGTATATATTGAGTTGAAACTTGGCGCATTTGTGTGTAGGTTTCCCTTTTGAACCGCATGACTTGATCTAAGAGCTCAATCAAATGGGTTTTGAGTACACTTGGAATTAGAAACAGATCTCTTGAGCTCAAAGCATGTTTTATGCTGAGTGAGCTGGGAAAGGGAGGTGACTTGGAGAGGCATTACAGTCAGCAATAGATGCCTATTTTTTGCTTGTGCTCATTGCTAATGTCTCATTATTGGGTTACATGTTAGTTATGTACTTTGGATGTTTTTCCCAAAGTGTAATTTGAATAGTCCTTAGGCAAAAATTTGTAGAGTCTGATAATAAGCTCCTAAATGCATTATAAATGAGGATCTGTTATTGGATGTTTATGCCAAAGCTGTATCTAAAAGTTTCTTGAGAATCAAGTTGTTGTGTCTTTGTCTAGCTTAACTTTTATTTCATGTCACACAAGTGTGCATTTTCCTAAATTTGTGGGTTTTTTCGTTCTTTAGGGTTTTCTTTATTGAGAAATTCAGATTCTCATCTCAAGAAGCAAGTGCAATTAACAGGTATATTGTGGTTGATTTAACAAGTAAATGTGCTACTGCCATGTTCTAGGGGGTGTATGTATCTTTGGGCTTTCACCATGGCGGGGGGGAAGTTTGGGATCTACTGTTGCAGGTGGTGACTTGCACTTACATGGACAGGCTTGCACTTAAGTGGACAGATACATTTCATGTGGCACAAGGAGTAATTGGGAGGTGTGCATATTTGTTTAAATAAAAATGTCTTGGATGCTCACATTGAGGAATCAGAAGGAAAAGGCTCTGTCTGAAGGGTATTATTTTGGTATTCGGTGCTTCCCTTCTGAGTGATTGAAACACTTTAATAGCAGCACCAAAAGAATGAAATTTTCCTAGTTTGAAGGTGAATTTGTGATGTGGCAAAAAAAAACCAAAACAAAAAAATCAACAACAACAAAACGCTTGCTGGTATATGATTCCAAGACCTCCAAGTATGTCACTGTTCCCTTGGATGTTGAATGTTTCCATGTTCTCAGACCTTTTGGGAATTTTGAGTTCTGGAGTCTGGGGGTTTTTTTGGTGTGTTTTTTCTTATTTCACAGGTAACAAGGGAATATGGTGTTTTGTCTGGAAACACTTGTATTGCATACTACCTAGAGCTGTCCATGGCTAGCAGGTGCTCAATTCTCTTATTTTTATTCTTTCGTAGTATTGTGTATATCATATCAGCACCCATGTCACCAGTCTTTGGACTCCTGGTGGATAAACTTGGAAAGAATATCATCTGGGTTTTATGTGCTGTAATAACTACACTTGCTTCTCACATTATGTTGGCTTTTACCTTCTGGAACCCGTGGATAGCAATGGTAACTAATTCTCTGAGACTTACAGCTAAATATGATAAAATAAGAAATTGAGTTGATAATGAATTATTCTGCATAAGTTGCCATTGTCTTCTGACTGTTTAGGTAGTCACAGAATCACAGAATGGCAAGGGTTGGGAGGCCTAGAGCATGTTGCACAGGACATCATCCAGGCGGGCTTTGAATATCTCCAGAGAAGGAGACTCCACAACCTACCTGGACTGCCTGGGCAGTCCTCAAAACCTGTTTTGATATCCCTGACTTTAAGAAGATATACTATGTGAAACTGAGTTTAAAACTAAAGAAGGTGAAAAAGCAAAGAACGCATAATACAGGCGAAACATGAGCTGTCTACAGCCTAAAGATAGCTTCAGGCTTTGGTGTTTTGTGGAGGGAGGCAGTAGTTATGTACGTGTGTTTTGAGGTGGCTGCTGTCTGTAGCAGTAATTCTGTAGTTGTTTAGTGCAAAAGGGTGTTCAACTTCCTTCTTAAGAAGGATGGGATTAGACCAGATGGATGTATGGAGTAGCAATTCCTTGTCCCTTCAGAGGCCTTAATTCATCATGGTATATGTGGTTCAGTTGTGCTCTGTTGCAGAGGTCTCTGCTGCTTCATGGACGCTCCTTACATGCTAGGTGCTCGCTTTTCTCCTAAAACTTGTTCTTTTGGTGTAGTTCTGAAGTGTATTATCATATTAAACCACTTTCAATGATTTTAAACTGTCTCTGATGTGCTGTATGGGATAGTGGTAAACCTCAATAAAAGTCTTTGTTATTGATTTCCCCTTCCTAAGGCAGGTTCATCAAGAAGTTGCTTTTGAACTAAGGTTTACAGGCTTAAATACAGCTTAAATGCTGTGCTCACCAGTGTATCAGGGTTAGAAGTTAGGGTCCTTGTTTTTCATGTATTTTTCTCGTGGGTTGCAGCATTGATCTTTTCCTCTGGGTATTCAAGCCGGGCTCCTTCCTTAATGCTAATTAGATAGGGTTTAGTTTGTGGGTCACTGCTGGAAAAAAGTTTTCTCTCCTTCTAAATGTGCATGTTTATTTAGAACAGTATTGCAAAAAGTGTTACCTTAGCTCTTTTCTTCTCTTTTGGGAGAAGTGGAAAACAAATATGTTCGTTTATTAGAACTTTACAGCAAAAATGCATTTCATCTAATGTCTGTTTACTTGTTACTTATTTCACCAGTGTTTGCTTGGTGTGGCCTACTCATTGCTTGCCTGTGCCCTGTGGCCCATGGTAGCCTTTGTTGTTCCAGAACACCAGCTAGGAACTGCTTATGGCTTGTAAGTACTTAGTTCTGTCTGCTTATGCTGCTCTACAGTGACTGTATCCTGATACTATTGAACCACTGAATATCAAGCAGTTCTAACACGTTAATGGTTAATATTTCCTCCAAGTTCAGTCTAGCAGGAAGTCTCGTGCAGTTTCAGGATGTATATGTGTGGTAGAGCATGTGGTTGTGGTAGATGCACAGAAACTTCTGCAAAAATGTGGAGTCATGACTGTCATGTGTCATAACAAATGGGGAGAAGTTAATCTCATTGTTCAGTGCTCCTAACGATGTTTTCTTTAAAAATAAATGTCTACACAGTGGTAATTCTTTGTTTATGTGTTAGTATGCAGTCTATCCAGAATCTTGGTCTGGCAATTATTGCTATAGCAGCTGGGATGATTCTTGACACGAGAGGATACTTGTTTCTTGAAGTCTTCTTCAGTGCTTGTGTTTGCTGTAAGTATTAAAAACACTGAAAATGGTTTCTGTACATTCAGGAAGTTTTCTTAGGCTTTTTTGTTAATATTTCCTGTAAAAACAGTAATAACTCCTTTCTTACAGTTAGATAGAGGTTTCACCTGGTGCAATGCTGAAAGTAACTCAAACCTAGCGAAGTGTTTTGTGGTTTTCTTGAAGTGATTTAGTGTAAGTAGTTTCAGTGTTTCAATAAAAATGAAGAGTGAGTAAAAGGGCAGGTGAATGATACTGCTGAAGGCTGCATTTATAAGGCCTGTTACTAATGTAACTAAAATTAGAATAATCTTTTCTGAGTTACCATGCTACTTAGGAGCATAGGGGAATTTTCAGAAGCAATTAAGAGACACTGCTGGCAAAAGTCTCCCCTCAGTTACAACTATAATGAAAAATCGTAGTTGTTGCTTGGTTGTACGTTAAAGCTGTTCTTCTGTCATTGTTGTAAATTTATTGTCAGCTAAAACTGTTCTGGTTTGGTTTTTCAGTGTCACTAATAGCTGTAGTCATGCTGTATTTTGTGAATCACCTCACAGGTAAGTAAGTGTTTTCAGCTTCTCCTGATATTTGTTTTTATCATAATTCTTGAAGTTATGAAGCTGAACTGTTTACAGGTGGCGTTGTACAGTCCTGTGTCAGGTGCTATGGTTTTGGTACCAGGAGCATCTCCTGATGAGGCCTGTCCTCGTAACATCATCTTTGTAGATACTGTAGTGTGTAATTCCCTGAACCTTGCTGTGATATTAAATCAAATCAGCAGGGCAGTGGTACCTATCCCTTCAGCTGACTTGAACATACGTGTAGGATATTCTGCAGCTTCTTCTAAACTGCGTATCAAACTTGACTGTATATGTATCTGCAAATATAAAAAACTTAATTATGTAGACTTTCCTTCAAGTATCAGTGTTCCTTCTCAACTGTTTTTTGAAGCAGTAACTACTGAAAGATCTGGAAGGGATATTATTTTGTTTCTTTCAAAGTTGCTTCCACTTTTTTTAGTTTGAAGGGGTATTATGGTGAGCTGTAGAGAAGCTTCATTATTACTCAACAGGAAACTGGATCAGGCTTGAGAGTTTAGTTTGAGTCCTGATTTTGCTTGCTCGGGTGATTGAAGAATCATGGAATTGTTCAGGTTGGAAAAGACCTTCAAGATCATCAAATCCAACCATTAACCTAGCACTGCCAAGTCCACTGCTAAACCATGTCCCTCAGCACCACATCTAGATATCTTGTAAATACCTTCAGGGGTGGGGGCTCAACCACTTCCCTGGGCAGCCCGTTCCAATGCTTGACAGCCTTGTTGGTAAAGAAATTTTTCCTAAGATCCAATCTAAACCTGCCCTGGCCCAACTGGAGGCCATTTCCTCTTGTTCCATCACTTATTACTTGGCAAAACAGACTGACACCCACCTTGCTGCAGCCTCCTTATGAGCACATTGTTATGAACACATTGCTCTTTCTCTTGAACTCAGTTTCTACTTTTGTAAAATTACTCCACTGATTTCTGTTGTCAAGTGCTCTGGGAACTTCTGCAGTGAGGTATGGTATCAAAAATACAATATAAAAAGAGCAGCTTTAAAAGTTTCTAAGTGTGTATTACTGCTTTTGCAGGTGGTGATCTCAACTGGTCTGCAAAGAAAAGGGAAAAACTGCAAAAAGTAGCTGCAACTGAGTAAGTATAAAGAACAATAAAGAACGGTGTCCTTATAAAATATTTAACCTGAAGTGATTAAGTAGATTACTGTCTGAAGTCAGTCTCTTTTTTAGGTCTGCCATTTGTATTGAATGTTGCTTTCTTTTTTACTAGTTACTAGTAGGATTTCATAGTCCTGCCGACTGTGAATGAATAATTAGAGGAAGTAGCAATTAACCAGGTGTCATTTCCTGGCACTCTTCCTTGCTATTTTTCTTTATTTCAGTGGCCTTCCAACCGAATGGAACGGAAGTGTGTTTAAAAAATGTTGTATCGCATATTTAAAAATGTGCTTAACTTTTATATGGTGCATACCTGACCCAGGCAGCAGTAAACATTACCTGGGTTTAATGTCAGGTAATCCATGGACTGATTTTTTTGTTTTGTTTTGTTTTTTGTTTAAGTGTCATGAAAAGCTAGATTTCTCCTCAGAAGAAACTGCACTCCAGTCACTTCCCCTTCAGTTTCAGCTTGCTCCTCTTGCTATCTTGCTTAGAAGTCCTAATTCAACTTGTCTCTGAAAACTGTGGCTTGAGTCTAAATTGCAGTTCTAATGGGAAACTCACTTTGTGGTTAGATCTGTGTCATAAATATTATTGATTACTGTGAAAAGTTTCCATTTTTAGAAAGAAAATGGGGTGGGGTATTTCAATAACATGGAATCCACTTCCTTTAAAGGGAAATGGAGCACTTGAGGTGGGCTTAGGGCAGAAATTGTCAAAATAAGCAAATTTTGACAGTTCATCCAATTAAGCAAATCTCATTCTGTGGGAGACTTGTATGTCCTGCTTTCCTTTCCTACAGAAAATAAGGGCAGTGAAACGCTTCAGAGTAGTAACTTAAAAAAATTCTTTTCCTTGGTCTTGACAAAACATTGTTGGCGTGTTAAGGGTCCATTGCTGTGCGTAGCTCTAAGAGCTGGAATCAGGTACTCTTGCTTCTTAAGTGTTGTTTGAGCAAACCTGAATGTATCAGTCACCTGCTGTCGGGATATCCCCCGAGTTCTAGGGCACTGGATTTATCCCGTCTGCACAGTAGAAAGTTTACTTGCTTTTTTGTTTGCTATCCAAGAATGCTAAATGCAGGGTAAAGCTCTCAGTGGATATGGAATGCTGTACAAGGGAGTCAAACACTGGATTAGGCTTACAGCTTTCAGAATAATTGCCTTGTCTTGGGGGAAGAGGACAGGAAAAGCATTGTATCGCAAAGTCCATTAAGAGATGTCACCCTAAAGGCAAAACAAAAGATCCTTCCACTTCAGCTTTTCCACTATCTAATTTACTGCCTAGAAAACCTGCCTTTTTTAAGTAGACATAATGTAAAGTCTGCCCATCAGACTGAGTTTAGGCAGCTTAGTTTGTTTTGATGACCTTGTTGAGTGCTGTTCCTAGTAGTGTGTCAGCACCCAGAAATTGTCACCTTTTCCAAATCCTAATTTCCAAGTCCTCACAAGTGCTGTGAGGATTAAAAATATGTGCCTTGGAGAATGTAATGTAAATGGGGATCGAGTATTTGTTAATGTATTGATTTTTTTTTTTTAATATATTTAAAGCAAATGTTTAACTTGCTTAAGGGTTGAACAAGTCTAAAAAGTCTGAGGTTCTGCTCCTCTGATCTGAATTTGTTTTGATGAGATTGCGGTTGATAACTGATGGAAAGAGCACGGTATATGCATTTCATGACTCCAGTCATAGTTTCACATTTGTCATGTGAAAGAGTAAGTCAATATGCAGCAAGTCACAGCTTTCAAGATAACATCTGTAGAATTCAAGCTGCTCGTACATGAACACCACAGAATTTTTTTTTTTAAATGCTTTCTGTTCTGACCTAGTTCAGCTCAGCAAGTTTCTTCAGATCTTGAAGCTCATTTGCCTGTAATGCTGGAATTTTTTACTTTGTAATAGATAACTATATTTCACCTGCAGATATTGTACATCCCACAGCTTTTATATATGTTTGTTCCAGATGAATACTTTGCTAACAAGACGTGTCTTATAAATGGCCTTCTCTAAAACTGGACAGTGTAACTGTCCATATGATGACACTTAAGTTAGTCTTGAAAAAACACAAAATGCCTGTCAACAAGGCCTGGCCAGGTGACTTGTGGGGTTTAATGTGGTTTTGTTTCTTGTCCTAATTTGTGGGCTTTTTACGCACCAGTCTTGAGGAAAGCTCAATGAAACTAAAATCTCACCGGACCTGGTGAGCATGCTAGCTTGCATGCTAGGTGATGAGTATCCTCTTCAGGCCAAAAGGTCACAGCCAGTTTTTAATACAATGCAACAAAAAACCCCCAACCCCTCCAACAGGAGCAAAGGAATTCTGTGTCCAAGTAGAGCTGCTTTTCAATCTGCCTGGCCCATGTGGGATGTGTGTAATGCTTCCAGTATTTACTGTGAAAAATGGGTTTGCATTAGTGTATGCTGTGGGATGTAGTGTCTTAGAACAATATTTTCAGTAATTTTTATTACAATGTTTTTTGCAGAAAAGAAATTTGAATAGCAAATATCATCCAGAAGTGGGGAGCATTTGATCAGCATGATGTCAACTTGAAGAATTAGTGTTGTTTAGTTTGGTGGTCAGCACTGGACAGTAGTTCTTTGGAAAAGAAACTAACATGCTGGGGATTTTACAGTAAATGGTGAAATTTTATGCTTTGTAACCAGTTTTAACTAATGCCAAATCATCTCCTAATTTGAACAGAATGGGTTTACGGCATTTTACACTGTGTTTAAGCTCTCTCATTGGAGCAGGTACTCTGCAACCCAAGACAAACGTGTTCATCTTAAGATGAAGGCTGGTATAAAGTGTCTTCCATGTGCAGCACTACTGTTTTGGTGGGGGTGGAGATTTCTTAATGTAATGGCATTTTATGTTCTGTATAAGGCTCACTGCCTTACAGAGCTTAGAAATGGGTCACTGTTACTACCTTTGTCACTGTCTTAATGCAAACCACTGTCTTAAGCTAAGTGTGTTTAGAGCTCTGTTCGGTCCTGTTTCTCTTCAAGACTTAGGTGGGAAAATGAGCAACAATGCTCTGGTCAAATATTGACTCTTGTAGGAGACTGCTGTTAATTCTGAAGACTGCTGAGCAGTCTTTTATTTGCATTTTTGACAATTGATTCTTTTTGTATTGTAATCTTTATTTTAAGGGGTGAAAGCTTGTTTAATAAAGAGATAGTACAAATTGTTACAAAAGCTCACTGAGCATGTTGTAATCTGTGAAAACCAAAAGGTTTATCTTTCTACTGAAGTCTTGCAATCTAAATAAAAGGAAACTGCAGAAAACAGCCTCTCTCTTTCTTTACACTGAATTAGTGATCTATACGCATCTCTTAATCTATTTTAATCTGATATCCACTATTCATTTATAAACATTACATGCTTTTTCTAGTTATTAAAAATAGAACTGCATACAGAAGATAAAGTTGTTTGGGTTTGCACTCGTTGGTGCAAGTCTCTTAAACAAATTTTCTTTTCCAGAGCGGAAGAACAAGAGAGACTCAGACGTCAAAATGAAGATGACTTGGCTAAATTACGGCCAAAACCTGATGACTTTAGTTTAAGGAATAAATACCTCTCCAAACTAGGCGCTCAGGTATTAGTAACAAAGTAGGGGTTTTAATAATGAAGGATAGAGCAACGAGATGTTTATTTTAAGAAATTGGCTTATTGTTTCAAGTAGCCAGCAAATCAACCTCTGATTAAAATGCTAAATGTGTGCTTGTTCTCAGAAATGAAGTCTCACCAATGATAATTAAAAATCTAATGAAGAAGATGGATCAGTGGCTGGCAGACCAAATAAGTTGAAGAGCAGGTTTATTATGATGCATGATTTTTTTAATTTTATTTTTTTTGCAGCTACCAGATAGTTACTCTTCCTATTTATCAACAGTGGTACACAGAAGCGTGTTGAAATAGCATGTTGCCCCACTTGCAAAAGCAGAAATACACTGAAGTTCCTGGTACACAAAACTTTGTTTCCAGAACTGACAACTACCACAGCAAAAGCAGAGTGATGCATTATACTTTTCTGCAAGCATAGATCCTATTTTGAAAATACTTGGCTTAAGCTCCCCCTCCTCACTGTGGGTGAATAACACAGATACTGATGAAGAACCATCTGGCTGTTTATTTGAACCCATGAGCTGTGTACTACACCTTCCTGTCTAAAATACTGCATGAGTAGCTCGAGTCAATAAGCTAAGGCTTGATCTCTTCTCACTACACAACAGTGTCTGAAATGTGAAAGCTTTGTTTCAGTAATCAAATTGCTGTGAAATGGGCCTTGATGTAGGTATGGGCTATGTAGCCTCTCAAGTTGGACAACTTTGTTACCGTGTTGCAAATGTTTTATTTTTTCTTACTGAAAAGTGTGAGGCAAGGCTGCCTTTTTATTTTGGACCAAGCAAATATTTCAGAGGAAACTAAACTCTACAATTTCAGTGTTATAGTTAAAAAAAGTGCTAGCCCTGGAATTTAATAAGAGATCACAGGCTTAGCAATAAACCTTGTGTAAGTCCTGATTCATGTAAAAACTGATATATTTTTAAGAGGTTGCGACTAAAGACTTACGTTTCAGTGGAAGGCTTGTGGCTGAATAGCTAGATCCTAGTACCTCCTGCAGAGTGCATTTTTCTTTGTTTTTGTTAGTCGTGTAACAAAAAGCATGTAAGGATTTTACTCACATAATTGGAGAAACTATTCCTAAACTAGGCTAATCTGACGTTAAAAGGCAAGAGCATCTTCTGGAGCACCGGGTACACCAAACGAAGAGGAGCTATACAGGTAGAGGACAAGGTACACAGGGGAGAGTGAGCTTCCGTTGGCTGACTTCAGGCAGTCCTTGTGTGCCACAAAATGCTTAAGAGCCTTTGATGAATTGCTTGATTGCAGAGAAAGTAATTTGTTATATGAAAAATGTTACATTATACCTGTAATATTTTTTTGCCTGCGGTGATTTAAGCAGACCCTCTGGAACTTGTGGTCTTAAGGTTTCTTTTTGTTTTTAAAAGATACTTTTCAGTGGACATTTCTTTCATGTTCCTGAAGAACTAAGATCATATTCCTGAAAGACTAAGCCAGGACTATTTTGGTTAATAGTTCTATATTCTGAAGAACAATCTAGGAAAATGAAGTAGCAGGTTGTGAACCATGCCGAGCTTACTGCCAAAGGGGAGCAGTACACGGACCTGTGACAATTTTGGTGCTTTCTGTGCTCTCTTTGAGAACCGAACACTATCAGCTCTGAGAATGGTTGATGCAAGTTGGTTTATTTTTCCTGTAGACTTGTGAATTCTGGTCCTTTTTTAATAAAGGCTTTAAATGGATACTGGCACCTGTATTTTTCTTACCTGACTGTTCAGTGATGCATTGTTGCCCTTGGTGGTTGTTGAGACTTATATATGCTTTTTTTTTGTTGGTTTTTTTTTTAAACAAGCACGATTTCTGCTTTCCCCTGAGAAATATGTGGAGTTTCTGGGGAAGTATATCTTTGAGGATCCAAAGGCAAAGTTTCTCCCAGTTCCCCCCAGTGATGGGTTGATGTATTTTTTTAAATTTTTTTTTATTTTCCTTTGGGGAGGGAATTATTTTTTTGTTCTTCTGTTGCTCGTCATCTCCTTCAGCTACCTGCTTCTCCTCTGCCTGCTGACATGTTCTGGTTGTAGAGAATTTCTGCTGTTACCCATAGGTCGGCATTTTGCACGTGACATGGCAGTAACTGTGAACTTAACGTCTTGTTGAAACTTTATTTTCAGTTCCTAAATTCTCTGTACCCTTGAGCATCTCGCTAAAGTACTGTGGCAGACTTCTGTAAAATAGTGTAACTTCCAGTGTCAGCTCAACTCTGCATGCCCTTGCCTTTCCTTTCTCAGAGATTCAGCCCATTGATTTCCTTTACTTTGCTTTTTCAGTCATGGATCTGGAGCATGGGAGCCACCTGGCTTTTGTTTCCTTATCTCCCATTCCTCTAATAAAGTTCTAGTAGGATGGAGCCTTCCTCTTTCTATTGCCAACCCTTTTGCTTCCACCCCTGTGTTAAAAAGTCCGGCTGCTATGTTTGTGCTTCAATGTATAGTCTATAGATTCAGGTTGATCATCAAGGAGAAAACGGGAAAAGGGATTTTTGAATTCTGAAATGCAGTTTCTTTTTGATAGGGAAAATGCGGTGGTGATCATTGTGGGAGGGATAAGGCCAGCAGCTACCACAGCGAGAGGGCTGCTGGCCTTGGCCAGGGGAGGGACGGCTCAAGCATGTGCTGCTGAAGCATTTGTTTGTTAATATCGCCTGGGTCCTATTTGCAATGAATTTGGAATGGCTGGAGCTGGAAGCTGCTTATCTTCGTAAGACTGCCTTTTTCCCCTGCAAAGCTTCCCTTAATGGCTTCTATCCCACCAGCCTGAGAAGCTGTTGGTTTGTTTTGGCTTCCCTGACTTTTTTTTTTTTTAAAATGTGAAGTTTATGGGTTGGGGTCTGCTTCTGGACTGTAGTGGTCTGACTAAATTCTGCCAGTGGATATGCAGACTTGTCTGGAGATGTTTATAGAAGAGTTAGTAAATATGGTCGCAAACAGTAGTTCAACACAGTATTTTATTAAAATTATCTGGGCAAATTTCAGAGGGACTTGTCACTCAAAGAATATCAATGGTGATATCCATCTCTTTGCTGTTACTTCTGCTCACACGGGGTACCCCCAGGCATGTGGGACTCCCAGATCTGATGTGGCTTTTGGGTCGTTCTGTTCTTGTCCTTTGGGTCTGGGGTGTTGTGTTTCTGTTGTGGGTTGGTTTTTTTTTTTTTCTTTCTCCTTTGACGTGTCTTTTCTTCAGGGGCTATTGCTGGATGTTTCAACAGGCTTTCTCATTCTCATTTCCAAAACTGGTTAATATTCCATTGTGTATCTTAACACTGTAGGTGCTCTCTTATTGCTTCTCTTGTTGTGCAGCTGGTCAAGCAAAGAGGCAAAGCAGAGCTCTTTGAGTGAGCTGGATCTCTGAGTAACATGAAAATCTTCCTAACATGTTCACACCGTGTTCTGTTGGATGGGGCAGACGTGCATTGGTATGAATGGGAAGCCAGAAAGCCCTAGACACACAGTGTGCTGTTTCATGCAGACCTCTTCAAAGGGAAATGTTTAAAGCATAGAAATATCCTGTAAATATTTAAACTTCCTGTGCATACGCGTCATGAAATATCTCTTTCAAACATTCGGTAGTGGAGTAGCTGCCCGAGTGACACTGAGGTGCTTCAGATCTCGTGGTGGTCTCCAGGTATGCAAATGTTGTTGCACGTTTGAGATTTTTTCGTAAATCCTGGTCACTAGGAAGCACAAAAGCATTTTTGCCATAAAGATAGCACTTACGAACAAGCTTCTTATCCTCCAGGACCTTGGAAGTTTTATATCAGCAATGGTAGTGAACTCTTTTCCATCCTGAACCTCACAAGAAGTCTTTGGGGTGGCCCCA